GGGGTAGGCTTGGGAACGAGGGTCAGAGCTAGATGTCATAGAAGGTGTCCAGTTCTCTGGGATCTAAAATATTCATCTCACTGGTGAGCTTTGGTTTCAAAGCTGGTGCCTTTGGCCTGGCCTGTGGTGGCAGGAGAGCCAGGTGCTGTTGGGGCAAAAGGGGAGCCATACTTTTCTGTCTCTCCTGTCATGAGGACCCAGAAAACTGATTTATAGCTTAGAAGGAAGTGGCAGGATGTTGGGGTGCTGACTTCTTCCATCTTCTTGTGCCATGACCTCAGAGCCTCACTTGTAAAAATGAGCATGTCAGAGAGGTAATGACAGGTTAAACTGCAAGTGTCAGAAGAACCTCATGTCATGAGCTGGGGTAATAGCCACCTTGGCTCAGCCTCCCATGAGAATGGGGGCCTTCTGTCAGAAATCGTCTGCCTCAGAGTACCTCCAACCCCAAAACTTCTCATCTTGCCCCCTTCAGAAAAAGCAGAGGCCACAGAGAAGGACACAAATACTTGTGTGTTTTCAGAGGGCTGAACGGAGAGGACCAGAGAGTGGAAGCTCACATAACTCTCTGGGAAGAAGTTCTAACAATATGGGTGACCATGATAGGGCTTTCTGGATGTATTCTGCTGAGAATGCTATGGAAGGGATGACCTTGGCAGAATCTTCCAATCTTAAAATTCTGGGATTCTGGGCAGAAGCCTGAGTCTTGTTTTGAAGTAGAAAGGAAGTCCTTTTTGTTTGCTGGGTGCGGTGGCTCACTCCTATAATCCTAGCACTTTGGGAGGCTGAGGCAGGTGTGTAGCCTGAGTTCAGGAGTTCAACACCAGCCTGAGCAAGAGTGAGATCCTATGTCTACTTAAAAGTAGAAAAACTAGGCAGCACCTGTGGCTCAAAGGAGTAGGGCACTGGCTCCATATGCTGGAGGTGGAGGGTTCAAACCCAGCCCTGGCCAAAAACTGCAAAAATAAATAAATAAATAAATAAAAATAGAAAAACTAGTTGGGTGTTGTGGCCAGGCACCAGTAGTCCCAGCTACTTAGGAGGCTGAGACAAGAGGATTGCTTGAGCCCAAGGGTTTGAGGTTGCTGTGTGCTATGATGTCATGGTGCTCTACCTAAGATGGCAGAGTGAGACTTTGTCTTAAAAAAAAGAGAAATCCTTCCCATTCTAATAGAGTCAGTACCCTATCCACCCAAAACAAACAAAGCCAGTACTCAGGCAAGCCACAGTAGTGGGCCCTTAGAGGGTTCTCAATACATTGGTCAGAGAGGAAGACAGTAATGAGTCTTCACTCTTTGATAATGATTTATTTGTACTTCTCCATTACACAGAGGTGATGTTAGGGGACGCCAGTTTCTTGGTTATATGCTAGCTGGCATATCCCCCAGCCTTCAGCAGTAAATCCCACCATAGAGGTTAGAATAGCAGCTGTCTGGAACAGGGGGTGAGGGAAGGACCCTTGCAGAGGATCCTGGCACTGAGATGACTCCCTGAGAGTGAGAGGGCATGCCTGGTACTTAATGCAACTGCTCTGAGGGGCAGGCTCTCTATAAGCACAGGGGATTTAAGACAGGAGGAGGTTTGGGTCAGTATCCCACAGAGTATTCATAGGTCTGCCTTGATATAAACTTAAGGAAGTTTGAAGGAACACTTGTTTAAACAAAATTGAACAGGTTTGACCTCTCTGAGGTATAATGTGGCAATGTGCCTTGTGAATTTCCAGAAGAAGGGGCTATGGACTGTTTCTTGGACTCCTCTGTTTCCAGAGCTTATCTGTTAATGTCTCCTGGAGTGCGATGGTCTGGGAAATTACTGGCTAGGTGATTCTGTCTCTCTGCTTTCTCATTCCAGTAAATTGGTCCCTATTCCTTTCTTTTATGGGGGCTGATTTAGGGATAAGAGAAGGCCAGGGGATCATTTGCCTGGATTCCCATAGCTAGTTAATGACCCCAGGTCTCTTGACTTCCTGTCTCATACTCTTTCTTTTCTATAGTTTCTCTGTAGGCTCTGGGGTAACTGAGCCACCAAGGAAGAGCTGGCAAGGGGCCACAGGGCATTATGGGGGCAGTTTGGGAGGGGAGAAGTCATGGCCATCCCGACTTCCAGAATATGCCATGTGTGTCTGTCTCTGTGGATGTTCTCTAAACCAGTTGCACATCAGTAGTGACCCCGGTGTAGATTGTTTAGGGGGTACATCATTCTGTTAGGCAATTCATTCATAATCAGACACTGTCAGAGTTAGAATGGCCTTTGATTTTTCAGTTCAGGGTACTCATCTGAAAAACTGAGTCCAGGGATATGAAGTAGTCTACTGTGGCTCATGTCACACAAGGGAGTCAGTACCAAAGCGAGCACAGAAACGCAGGTCCCTGCCTCCTAACCCACCCTCAGGCATCAGATCAACTTTTCATAGGCAAAAGGAATTGTCACCAATACCACATGCGCTTAGCTCCCTTCTGCCATTTTGATCTCTACTACCTCACCCTACCCCTGGGGCTGCCCATTCACACAGGTGACTGGCAGGGTTGTCTCCAGCCAGGTATAACCAAAGGGGTGAACTTTAAATCAGACATCAGATCAGGGTTCAGACTCATCTCTGCTGTTTATCTGCTGTGGGACCTTAGATCGGTTTTTTTTCTGAATTTCAGTTGAAATTTTAGTTTTCCCTGAATCTCATCTACAGAGTGGGGGTAAGAATATCTACCTCATAGGGCTGTTATAAGGCTCAGATGTGCCTTAGTGACTGACTACAGGTTGAGCATCCCTTATCTAGAATACTTGGGACCAGAAGTGTCTTGGATTTGGGAATTTTTTCAGATTTTAGAATATTTGCATTATACTTTAGGGTTGAGCATCCTTAATCTGAAAATCCTATATCTAATGCTCATTGGAGCATTTCCTTTGACTGTTATGTCAGGGCTCAAAAAATTTTGGATTTTAGAGCATTTTAGATTAGAGATACTCCACCTATATCTACGTAGTTGCTTAGTTAAGTACTTCTAATAGGTACTCTAAGTAGTTCTCTTCCTTCCCTGTCCACCCCCAGTTCTTTACTGGAGTTGTTAATTATCTGTGAATTCCTCTGCTTCTTTCCCTTCCAGATCTTGAAGTTCAACTGAAAAGAAACATAGAGAAGGAGGTAGATAGGGCCTATGTTTTAGAAACGGCAACTGCCTGCCAATTAATGGCTTCCTTTTCCTTATCAGCACTCCCAGGCCATCTGACCCCTGACTTGGCTGGGAAATCACTAGAAAACTGGGGGAATGGTGGCTTGTTCTGGCTCCTCCTTTGGGCGGGAGGGTGTGCTTGTGTCTGTTACCTAGTTCTCAGACAGTGGGCGAGGCTGGGAGGGGAAGTTCCAAACCCATGACCAAGAGGCACTGGGTGGAGCAGGAACTTTCTTGGGTCTGGGGTTTCCTTGTCTGTCAAATGACCACATGAGTCCCAAGTCCATTCCAGCTCCGATATTTCAGTTTTTAGATCCCTTCAGTTTTATCCTCGTAATCCCAGAGGCCAGGCCACTGAAGGATATTAAGTTTGCTCCCTGCCACTTCTGGGTCCCTCTGGTTCAGACTCAGGCCTGGTAACTTGCCCAGACACTCCTGGGTATATCTTTTTACTCCTCTGCCCTCATGTGCTGGGGTATGAGGGTAAAGTAGTTTCCTGGGGGGCAGTTGGGTAGGTAAAGGAAAAGGGAGGGAAGTGTCAGAGAGACCTGGGCACAGTGGCAGAGCTGTGCCCCTGTGCTGCCGGGTGGGGTTTCCTGAGATGTGCACTCTGAGCTATTCTTTCCATTCTGGCTCTGGGCGTCTGTCCCTGGCAGGGAGAGGGCAGGCTGCCTGGACCAGTCAGCTGCTCCTTTCCATCCCTCCCTCCAACACACACCCCCTTGGGCTGTAACTCCAGTAGCTCTGGCCTCCTCTACAGATTCCAGAGCTTTAACCCTGTAGATGCCCCCAGGAGAAGTCTGGGAGCAGGTCACCACACTGGGA